TATCTCGATGTACATCCATCTGTGGCCCAGAGATGTGCCCCCCCCGGGCGGGGGCAGAGGGGACAGAGCCGCGCCGGGCGGCTGCTCGCGGAGCGCGGAGACTTTGGTACCGACACCGACACACCGAACCCCCCTCGCCAGACCAAATCCGAGCCGTGAGTGCATGCGACGTGCATGGAGCCCCGTGAGCCCCCTCCCCGCGGCGGGTCCCCTCGGATTCTCCGATCTAGCGTTAGAGCTCATATTTAGGATAAACCAAATCATCCCCTAAGCAATACACGCGCCTGAGATGGTTCCTAGAGCCGGGAGCGTTTGCATGGACTTGGCTGCCAAGGGCTGGATTCCACCCCCCCAAAGTCCCTCCCTGTCCCCGTGCCGTGCCTCGGTGTCCCCACTGCCCGGTGCGGGGACATTCCTGACCTCCTGCTTGATGCACTTTGAGCCGACCCCGCTTGGGAAGCGGCGGAGCGACCCCGAGGCCGGGGAGCCCCGCACGCCCCGGCACCCCCAGCCTGTATGTAGCACCCACCTGGGCACAGACTGGTTCGGATTTGGGGCCGTTTCTCATTCTTTGGAGTTTTTGGGGGTTTTGGGGTGGTGTTTTTGGTTTTTTGGTTTTGTTTGGTTTTTGGTTTTTTTTTGGTTTTTTGTTCTTCCTGGTTGGTTGTTTCTGATCTGAAATAAAACTGGGATTTCTGAAGCGCTCTGGGCTGCAGGGGCTCCTGGAGATGCTGGGGTGGAGGGAGATGGGGTGGGAGCACCTGTGGGTGCTGCTGAGTCCTGCTGGCACGGGAGGTGGGCACTGCTTTGGGGGGCTGTGACCCCCAGGGGACTGGAGCATCCCTAAACTTTGGGGCAGCAGGACCTGGCTCCTTCCCAGCAGCTCCCATGTCCCCCACCCACTCCAGCTGCGGATCCTGCTACAGGTCCTGCCTCTTCCATGGATCCCAGTGGTTTCATCCCCCTCTCCACATCTCACAGCCCTGATATTTTATGTTTGGTTTGATGAATGTTTCACTCCCCTTTGTCTCCACGGGAGGATGCTCAGCCCAAGTCCCTTCCCAGAAGTTCTTTCACCTGGGTAAGAGTAATTCCAGCAGGAACCAGGATCTGTCTGGGGCACCTAGAGAGGCTCCACAGGGTCACAGTTTCTAGGCCAAGCTGGGGATCCTGCCCCAAGGCTGGTGGCAGGGAGCACCGTGTTACTGCTGATTTACACCATGGTGTGAGCCCCCCAGGCTGAGGGACATCGGGAATCTCACTGTGGGAGCCCATTCCCACCGAATGGATCACCCTCCCCGAGCCCCCAGCGATGCATTTTTAATGGTAAAGAGATTAAAGGAATAAATAAAAATAGGGGAAGTGCTTGGGGCTGGGAGAGAATCGGGCAAAGCTGCTGCTCCCCATTTATGGGGCTGGAGGAGCCCATCCCAGGACACCGGGGCTGGGACATCCCCACCTTCACCTCCCTGGCTGCTCCCATGGGGAAAACTCATTTCCCTGCACCGGCATGGGAATTCCCACCCTGCAGCACCAGGGGGAAAGGGGGACACACCCCATTTTTGGATGCCAGGAGGAACTGGTGGCATTTTATTGATTTGGGGTTTGGGTGGGGCCTTTTTTTGATCTTCTCTAATTTATCAAACCAATTGAAGTGAACGTCCAAATGAGAAATGGAAATGGGAAGTGCTCCACGGCAAGGAAATCACTCCGGCTGCCTCACAAAGTGCGGGAGGCTCCGCATCTGTAATGAAATTTCATCCATCTCCCGTAGAAAGTTTGGATTTTTTATGGACTGGCATTTCCAAAGGAGCCACGTGGCCTCGGAGACATGTGTGTGTATATATATATTTTTTTATTTTTAACTAGGTCTATTATAGACACTGTGAATAAACATAAGAGAAGGGAAAAAAAAAAAGACAATTTAATTTGCCAGAAAATACAATAATGTAAAAGAAAAAATTAGATAAAAGGAATAACGCCATCCCCCAAGCTCAGCGTTTCAAAGCTGCTCAATTAATTTTAATGGGAATGGGCAGAACGGATTTCTTGGGGCAGGTTTGGAGTGGCAGCTCCCGATCCCGGAGCAGGCGGGATGCCGGAGCGGGGTCCCGCCGCGTCCCTGCTCTGCCGCAGAGGCGATGGATCACTGCGGCTGCTGCGACAGAGATGCTCCGGGATAATTCAATTAAGGGACCGCCAGGAAAGGCGAAAACAAAGGGAATGTGCCGGGAGGTGGGAGCTGCCGCGGGAGAGGGGAGGTGGGAGGGAGCAGGACCCTGCATGGGCTCCCTGGACGTGGGGACAAAGGAGTAAAAGTGGCAGCAACCCCAGCGGGGGTTGCAGGGCTGCGATTCCATAGCTCTGGGAAGTGTTTGGGATAGGAAGAGAAGTTGGTAATGGTTGTTTCTCTTGTGCTGCAAGAAGTGTGGGATGGGTTCAGCTCCACCCCTGTCCTGGTCCCATTCCCATCCCTCTCCTTGTCCCAGTCTCTGTCTCCATCCCCAGCGCCATCCTCAGCCCCACTCTCATCTTTATTTCCATTCCTCTCTCTGTCCCTTTCCCCTCTCCCCATCCCCACTGCTGTCCCATCCTCATCCCATTTCCATCCCCATCTTCTCCCCATCCCTGTCCCATCCTCATCCCTGACCACTCCCCATCCCCACTCCCCTGCTGAATTCCATTCCTGCCTCAATCCCCATCCTTGACCCTATCTCTACCCCCATTCCAACCCTTCTGTCCGTGCCTCTCTCTGTCCTGTCCTCACCCAGTCCATGTGCTGTCCCCATTCCCACTCCTGCTCCCTTTCCCCTCTCTCCCAGCAAGAGCTGCCAGAGGACACGGGCAGAGCCCAGCGGGGCTGCGCTTGGCAGGGGCCCAGCAGCCGCTCATTTCCCTAAAAGCTTCCCCATAAATTACTCCAGCCCTTGCTCCAGCAAAGGCACTTTGGCTCAGGCTTCACTATTGGGCAGCAGCTCCTCACCCCCACCCCGGGGACAGTGAGTCCATCCCTGCAGCATCCCTTGGGATCGGGTACATCCCTGTGGGAAGGAGCCACAGCCCCGTCCTGCTTTGGTGTCCTCCTCCCGCAGCCTTTTCCCATGGATGAGCCCACAGCTGCTGTGTCCCACCCTGCTGGGACAATCCACGGCATTGTCACCTCCTGCCACCTGCTGGAACACACGCCCCACAAATCCTGCAATTCCCAGCCTCCTCCTTCTCCCCCCGGGAGTTACACAGCTCCGTGAATCCACGACACCCTGCAGGTGATGCCGGGCTTGGCCCGTTGGCCACACATCCTGCAGTTTTTGTGGGAAAACCCCAACTTTAACAAATCCCCCTTGGCAGCCCCTATCACCTTCCCCTGGACAGGCTGGAGCTCAGCAGGGAATGCTCCTGCTCCTGCTCTTGTCTTTCAGCCTTTATTGGGAATTTCTGCTTCCAGAGCAGCTCAACTCCTTGGGAGCAAGGAAGAGCATGGAAAGGCTGTGGATGCTGTTTTACAGTGGAATTCTCATTTACAGTTGGGTTCCAGAGCTTACCCAGATAACTCTAGCTAATTTAAGGTGGATCTGGGGAGCCCTGAAGTTTGGAAGTGTTGGGTAAAAGAACCCCTGCTGGAGCAGCTGGAAAACCCACCAAGACCAGAGCACATGGAGCAGGGACAGGCCTGGGGACTGATCAAAACACAGTTCCAATCAACGTGGGGAACGGGGAAGGATTTGGATGTTGACTGGGGAAAAAAAAATCTATGCAAGGGACTGGAGAGGGAGTTCCTTGATCTGTTGGTGCTGGTGGCCTCAGAAGGTGTCCAGGAGCGTGTCCTGGCTGCCACCATCAGAGCAGCCACTGTCCCCCCCATCAGTGAAGCCTCTCAACATTCCCCAGGACTCTTCCCCTGTGCCAGGCTGGGGCACAGGGAGGCACATCCAAGCTTGGAGAGCTCAGCTCCCACTCTGGAACACCCACAGTCCCTGGGGAGTCCCCACTTCTCATTTCCTTGGGGGCAGGGTTCCCATCCATTCCCAAAAAGGAGCCACCTGGGTGCCCTTATTAATCCACTTGTCCTTGCAGGTGGAAGTGAGGACAAGACACAGGGCTGATCCTGTATCCTCTGAGCCCAATCCCTGTGCTCCTGCTCTCCAGCAAGCCCAGGGCTCCTGCCTGGAAGGATAAAAACATTCTCTGGTTGGACCTAGAGCTCATCCAGGCTGCAGCCAAGGCTGTTTCCAGGCTGCTGCCACATCCAGTCCCTGCTCCTGTCAGAACCACGTCCCAGGATGGGGCTGATGCTCCTGTGACAATTTCCCGAGCTGGGAGCCCTGCCCTGCTGGAGCGATCCAGGCAGGATTTGGCCACAGGCAGCTGGCTCCTGCTTGTGCTCTTCATGAATCTGGACCCACCACCTCCCTGCCCAGCCAAACCTGGAATGCTCTGGCAGTGGGCACAGCCCTCCTGGACAAACCCGCTGCCAGAGCTGCCTCCCGGGATGCTGCTGGACAGGATCCCCCCTTGCCCCTGGAGCTGCAGCACCCCGCTCCCTTCCTGAGACAGCCAAGGGCCTCCCTCACCCCACGCTTTACCAGCAAGGAGAGATGACCCAAACTCTCACTGTGGAGAAACCTTGGGATATTTCCCCTCCTTGCCCCTTGCCTCCAGCACAGCAGGGGCAGGGCTGAGGGAAGCTCCCCAGACTCTCCACTGGGAGCTCCAGCACCTGGACCCAGGCAGGGTCACACCCTGAATTTATCAGGACAAACACAGCACCAACACCCGAGGAAATTAAACGTCAGTTCACTGCTCCAGCCTGGATGACAGAGCCCAGCACGGAGCTGGACTGAGAGCAGGCAGAAGTGATCTGAGGGGATGGATCCCACCCAGGAAATGGGGAATGTCAGCTCCAGGTGACAACAGACACCCCCTGTGCAGGGAGAAAGGCAGGGGAGTGGCTCAGCCCATGGGAGGCTGCCAGACCAGCAGGAACACGACACACAAGAGTCTGCAACGGGCAGGAGGAGGGTTTATTGAAATAAAAGTGTGTATAAACAATCCTGTCCCTTTCCCAGAGCAGAGGCAGCCAGCCCAGCCAGGCTCTGGGGGTGCCTCAGCCCCACTGCAGGTTGGGGGGCACCGGCCACCCCCCGGGCGGGGGGGCCTGCAGGGATGGGGGCAGCTCCTGCACTGGTGGCCAGCCCAGAGGGTACTGGAACGGTGCTGGTTTCTCGAGAAGAGAACTGTGAGGGGAGAGGGAAAGGGATGAGGTGAGCAGCAGTGTGTCAGTCTGACACCAAGGCCATGCTGGGGCTGGGCTTCCCTGTGCCCCCTCCAGTAGTCCCCAAAAAGAAGGGGCCAGCAGAGGAGGGTTTTGGTTATCACCAAATGGGTTCATCCACCCTCCCCATCCCAAATCCAGCACCAGAACAGCTGTGTGACCATTCCAGCATATCCAAGCAGCCTAACACAGCGTGTGTCTGTGAAAACTCAGGTGGGAACACTGAGGTGAGGGGGTCTGGGCTGGGGGGAGCAGCACAGCCCCCTGAGAGGGGCTCAGCAGGCATAGCTGCCAGGTGCTGGTCCCAGCCCCTCCATCCCCACTCCTCACACAGCTGAGTTGGAAGAACAAACAAAACCAGCAGATGTTTCTTTCTGAGCAGCCCAAATCCCAAACCAGCTGTGCACTTCCCAAAGGACAAGGACCCCTCGGAAACGGAGGAGCTGCCAAAGCAGCAGGGTGTGTGCACCAGAGGACCCTTCAGCTGAGGGAAGAGGCTTCTCCCTCACCCCATGGTCTGGGAATCACTCTGGCCCTGCCCCTCTCTTCAGCTTTACTGGTCGAGGCTTCTGCAAACACCACACTGGGATGAAGAAGTGCAGGAGCAAGAACCATCTCTGCCTTCCCTCCAGCTTGACCAGGGCATGTTTAAATTCATGGGAAACATACCTTTTCCATTAATTCCCAAGTGCAGGAATCTTATTTGTTCTCTCACACAAGCCCCTGACAGCAGCCCTGCAGCTTCTCAGGCCTCTACCTCCGATCCTGATGAATCTTTTTAATTCTTATGCCAAAAGAATCTAATCAAACTCCTTTACATAACCCCAGGGAGAAGCAGCACCCTCCTCTCCCTGCGGGGCCATGGCTGAAAGCCAACCACAGGAGTAGTTTTCCAGGAGTGTTTTCCAAGCAACTAACGCAGAGCAAAGTCACTTGGCTCAAGGTTTATCCCCTCAGTGGGGATTCTCCAGAGCCCAGGATGAGGCAGGACCATGAGGACACACACCAGCCCCTCTGGGCAGGGATATTTGGTGTCATCCCCGCAGCACTGTGGCTCAGGCACACTGGATGTGGAGCAGAGGGAATGCTGCAAGGTGGAGCCATCACCTAATTAGCATTTCCTGAGCAGCAGGACTGATCAATAGGCAGGATGCTGCCTGGGTACTCAATTCCCTGGGGTCTCATGAGCCACAAGAGCTCTATCAAAGGTTTACCTACAGCTAGAGCATTCTCAATGGCTGTCCCATCCCACTGGGATTCTCCAGTGGTCACCAAGATCAAGAATATTTCCTTTCTGAAGGTGTTAATGGGATCCCTCTCCTCTATCCCCTTCCACACTCATGGAACTTGTGGCATCTCAGAAGCTTTGAGGCCTTGAACCCTTTTCTGATGGAAATCTGTGCTCTACATTTCCTTTGGAAATCGGTAAAAATCAATCCCATGAAATGTGGGCTGGAGGGCACAAGGGGAGCACAGAGATGATCAAGAGAGGCTTTGGCAAGGCTGGAGAGAGGAAGGGAAGTTCCAATAGTTGTTGTTTAATTCCTGTAGCAGATGGTTTCTGAGCCTGCAGGGACAGGGAGGCTGGAAAAGGAGCAACAATCCTGGAAATTTGTTTTGTGCATCTATGGAGGCAGCAGGGACCCAGTTCTGAAGGTCTGAACATTCCTCTGGGTGTGACCAAGTAGTTCTGAAGGTCTGGAAATTCCTCTGGGAATAGTGATGGCTATCTTCTGATCTACCTCATATTCCAGGGATTCACAGGCAGGACAAACAAAATGGGGCAAGTGAAGTGTAGGGGACAGGAATGTGGGCACCTCTGCAAGGCCAAGGGCAGCCGAGCTGAGGGACAGAACAATCCCAGAGCAACAAGCTCAGACAAGCATCAGAAGGAAGCTCCTGCCCAGTCCAAACACGGAGAGGACGGGAACAAACAGAGAAAGAACAGAAGAGAGATTTGGCACCTGCCCAAATGTCATCCCATTAAGCCTGCGGCACAGTCAGGTGAGCGAGGAAACAGCCGGCACCGAATCCGAATGGATCCTGTGAGGAGGAGCCAATTCCACCCTCCCTGGCAGGCAGGGGATGGGGGAGCTGTCAACAGATGAAAGCAGGCTCCTGACACTGAACCCTGGGCGTTAATGAGCCAGCACAGCAGCGGCTCTGTCCTTCCAGGTGTGTCTGTGCACTCTGCAGAGGACAAGGGGCAGCCCTCTGCTGTGGCCTGTTCCCAAAGGGTGTCCCCTGGCAAACTGGGACACCTGTGCAGACATCCCTGCCCAGGTGGGGCAGGTAGGGCTGCATCCACACATGTGCCCCTCACGAGCGCTGGCTGGGGGTGTCAGGACCTCTGATGCCCTGCGCCCTCCCCTATCCCCAGCCCTCCTGTGGGATCCCCCTCTGCATCCACACCTGGATGATCCCAGCACCGGTACCTGCTACTCTGAGCTGCGCTCAGCCTCTGGGCTCTCTTGTCCAGCCAGTCCTCGATGGTGCCAGGTGGGATATCTGCTCCCTCCCTCTGCAGCTCCTTCAGCCTCTTCTCCCCTGCTCCAGAGAAAGACTGGGATCAGAGAGGGCTGGATCAGAGGGAGGGCCATGAGAGAAAGGGCCACCAGACCCTTGTTCTTTCACTCCATTAAACCTGCTGCTCATTACCCTGCACAGTTTCACAGGGTGGAGAGTGTGCACCATGCCTGGGCAGCCCCTCCTCCTCCTCTGCCCTCCTGCCATCCGATGCTTGGAGCCATCACTGGTGACAGCTGCAGCCAGGCAGAGCCGGGGACAAGAGCTAAACCAGCATGGTGGCAGTTTGGGCACTGAGGGGAGTCTGACATCTCCCCCCGGGGTAGATCACCCTCATCCTTGCTTGGAACGGCCTTGGCTGGCCCTGAGCCGTTTCCAGAGCCGTGTCCCTCCAACTGGCAGCAGCAACTGTGCCACCCCTGCCCTGTTAGGTGGAAATGACAGGGACAGTGTCCGGATCGATGCAGCCTTGGCAGCCCGGGAGAGTCTGAACAGTTCTGGGTGTGTGTTCCAGCCAGCAGACAGATCCCAGAGCTGCTGTCAGGGCTGCTTAAGGAGCTCCTGCCTGATGTGTCCCAAGCCCCTGCACAGCCCAGGCAGAGCTGTCACCAGCCCAGGGGCAGAACCAGGCCAGAGAGAACCAGGGGACAAGTTCTTGTCTTTAGAACCAAGGAATGGCTTGATTGGAAGTCACCTCAAAGCTCATCCTATCCCACCCTCTGCCACAGTCAGGGACACCTTCCACTATCCCAAGTCCTGTCCAGCCTGGCCTTGGACACTCCCAGAGACCCAGGGGCAGCCACAGCTTCCCTGGGCACCTTGTGCCAGGGCCTCACCCCATCAGAGGGAAGGATTTCTTCCATAAACCACAGAATTGCAGAATCAATCAGGTTCAAGAGAGATCATCGAGTCCAGCCTATACCTAACCTAAATGTCCCCTCTTTCAGTTTGAACCCATTACTCCTTGTTCTCTTTCTCACGGTGGTTAGGAACGAGGAAGGAAACCAGTACAAAACCTCTGCTGTTTACTGAATCAAGATTTCAACCCCTCCAATCACGCTGGAAGGGCTGTGTGGGCAGATGCCCACAGGCATCCCCTGGGAAGAAGGGCACGGAGCCAGTGTGGCACAAACCCACAGCTGCCCAGTTAGCAAAGCTCCCTCGCCCCCTGCAGCTGCAGGAGGGAGCTGGTGCTGAACAGGTCTAGCAGGAGTCCTGACACAGCCACACTCCTGCCAGCACATCAGGGATGAGAGCACGCTCCCAGCAATCCCAGCTCCAGCCTAGTGGAAACTTCCCACCTAACAGAACAGGGAACTCAGAAAACCAAATACTGGTGACAATAAAAAGGAAGCAGAGGCAGATGCATGTCATTCCCTTGGCCCTGCTCATCCATCCTTCTGGGGGATCCCTGATCCCATTTAGGGATCAAGGCACCTGCAGCTGTGCCCCTCAGGAGCCTGCTCCACACCCACCCACCATATGTCACATGTTTTAAGGAAAATATTATACCTTTGCAGACAGGGTGTGAAATTAATAGTGCTTGGGCAGAGTGAAGGATCACTTCATCCTACTGGTGGCAACCAATTATTCATCTGCCTGTTGAATCCTAAATCAGGATGGCAGGGATGTGCTACACAATGAGCAGCCAGATGGATAATTTGTCATCCAGCCTTTTCAGCTGCTGCTGCTGGGCGGGGTGATGATGTGCCCAGTGCCACCACAGAAAGCCTGCTGTGGTCTGGCTGCTGCTCTGAACCCACCGAGAAGGCTGGAGACAGCAATGTTCCAGTCTCCCACAGTGGTTCTCAAGAATCAAAGCCCCAGCAGAGCTACCTGGGGTCAACCCAACCACCTGGCCAGGTGAGGAGAGGGGGAGGCAAGAAGCTCAGCCTGGAGAGCTGGGCACTGCTCACACTCAGGGTTAGACTCATCTGGCAAACCTGAGCACCTTATTTCCCTTTGTTCCATGTTCTTCCACCTCCTGAGCACATCCCACCTCAGCACGGGGACAGACAAGCAGTGTCTAAGAGAAGCTTCAATGAGGCAGGGAAGAAAATTATGGAGAATCTCTCCAACCTCTCTGTACTGTGATTTCCACTTCATCCAACTCCCAGCCCCAACGGAGAGCAGAGCATAAACAGTACAACTTCTCTGTTCAGAGCAGGGGGCCCCAAGGTACCATACCAGGGATAGAGTAGCCACAACTCATGTTTCCAAGCCAGAAAAGTTCACTGGATGCTGTGGAACTACTCTGGATTTGCAATGCCCCAAATGAGGCCCCAGGTATCCACATTAGAAAGACATTCAGCTGTCTCCCTGTTCTCACAGCTCCAGGAGCTGCTGCTCTGGAGCAGTCCAAACCTCAGGCTCAAAAATATGGCAGCAGGGACAGGCAGCTCTCCAGCTCTGCCCACCTTGAGGACATCCATGTCCCTCCTCTGGTGCACACACATCCCATCCAGGGACCACCAAACACACCCTGAAATTGGAAATACTCCCTGAATGCCAACAGCTATTCCAAGAAGCAGCTCTGAAAGGCCTTTACCAGCCCTTGCCCCCTACACGTGCTGGTGCAGCTGGACAGGTGTGAAAGTGCTTCCCACCTCCTCCTCCTCACCGTGGTGTTTACTTCAAAGTCTAATTACAGCCAACTGAAAGAGCATCTGTAGTTGTAAAGTGCCTCTAATGATGCCAGAGCTGGGCCCACATTTATCTTCTCTCCTCATGGGTTTTATTCTTGACAAAGGCACTGCTGTGTGAGAGATGGAACCTGCCAGTACTCGCTGGAGGGTCACCCAGCAAGGCGATGCACAGGAAATCCCTCAGCTCCCACCCAGCAAAGAGATGCACATGAAATCCCTCAGCTGCTTCCCTGGTGGATGTTGTGGAACCCCAACTCCTCCAGAGCACACAGACAGCACCAGAGCATGGCTGAGATGAGGCTGAGGAGCCCCTGCAATGGGAGCAGCCAAACAAGCAACCACCCTGCAGCCCAGTGTGAGCGCTCCTCCCACTCCCTGCCCAGTTAAACCAGTGGACTCCAGCCACCCCAGCAGGGCTCTCAGATCCTTGCAACCCCATGGACATCCTGCAAACACTCACCAGCTGTGCCCTCCTCTGGCAGCCCTGGCTGGCTGGAGCCATCAGAGCCCAGCCAGGTCGATCCTGCCTGCGCCAGGGACACGGATTAGCGGGGAGCCAATAACTCTGAGCAAGGAGATGGCAATTTGACAGTGACTTCTCCTGACATGACTGCACTTAAAATGACAGCCTGGAAGTGTCTGCCTGATGAATGATGCAGCAGATGCAGAAGGCTAATGCTTTGATGGGGAAACAGCTGGGAATATGAGCTCCCTCCCTGCTGAAGGTGTAAACTGTTGCTTCTTGATGAGGATATTCTACAGGGTGCAGAGATGCTGACGCCAAAGTAGGCCAGACTCCAAGCTGTTCTAGAACATGGAATCATCCAGAAATTTTCCTACTTAACCCACAAAACTTACACAAACTACAGGGTCAGCTTCCAGCATTAAAAAGGTCAAATGTTAAGGATAATGCCACATTTCCTTTGGTTGTGATAAAAATATTTCATTATCAAGGTGAGTTTACAGACATGGAGTCACCAATGCCAAATACTCACAGGGACTCAGGGACTGGTTCAATATTTACATGATTAAAAAAGTCATCATGGTTTAGATGGGTTAAAAAAAAAAGTCAGAAAAGGCTCTGCCTGCACCAAAGCTGAGGAAAGGGGGATTAAGCAGCACTGTGGGCCCATCAGGAAAGCATCCCCCACCAGCCTGGCCACCCCCAGCATGGTCCCCCCAGGCTTGGGAAGGCTCTGGAACTTCCAGCCTCTCAGCTCATCTCAAATCCCTGATGACCCCTGCCTCCAAAGCTGCCAAAATCTCCCAGCTGGGTCAGCGAGAGGCAGCCTGGCCCAGATTGCTCCAATCCCCCTGGCTGTGGCTTGGGATGGCTCATGGCTCAGACATCCTGAGTGGGAATGTGGGACATTACTGACGGAGGATCCTGTGTGAATTACACACCTTGCCACTACAAGCTGGCCCTCAACTCTGCCCTCCTCAGCCCCAGCACCTGAGACAAGGGTGCTTTGGCAACTGAAGGAGCGCTGGGACGTCCCCATGACTCACCAGACAGTGTCTGATCCTTCCATCCTGTCTGTTACAGGCTGTCCCTCTCCTCCACCAAGTCCTGCACCAGCCTTTCCCTGCAGCTCTCTGATCAGAGCTGGAATCTGTGTGACACACGAAGCCACACCAGGTGAGCAGGACTGAACTCTCCAACCAAGCAGCCCCTGTCCCCTGGCCATTGTTCCTTCAGGGCTAATTGGTAAATGAAACGTTTGACTCCAGAACACAAATGCAAGGTTTCCCAGTAATCATTCTGGAACTGGCTCTCAGCAGCCAATCCTGCACTTACACTGACCCATTTGACACAAGTCAATACTCAATAACAAGTGTAATTGGCAAGGAAAGCAGCGCGAGTGCAGAGGAGCTGCCAGCCCTCCCTGCTCTGCTCCAGAGAGCTCCCACTTCTCCTGCAGGAACAGCCAGTGCCTGGAAATGCTAGAGGCTCCTGTGCCTGCCACTCTGTGCACCCTCGGGAGCCCAGCAGAGAGGGGTCAGGGGCTGGAAGGTGATTCTGGGAAGGCTGGAGCACTCTGTGGTTTTATCAACTGCTGGCGGTGCTCAGAGATTGATTCAGAGTCACCTCGGGGGCTCTCACTGACCCAGCACGGCCTGGAATAGCTCTGTGCTGCCTGCCTGCCTCCCCCTGGCTCCCCTGAGCTCTTCCTCTTTGGGGAGCTCTTCCTCCCCAGACAGGATCCCTCTGAGGGCCAGGAGAGGCTCTGCCCCACGCACACCCCCCTCTCACATCCCACACTTCCAACACTTCAGCCTGGCTCTGCCAGACTCTCAGCAAAACAACAGCTGGCTCCAGTGAGGATGTGGGCATGGGAGCTGCTCCAAGCTGGGCTACACTGGGACACCGGGTTGGGGAAGGAATCCTTCTTCTCTGCTCCACACTCTGAGGCCATATCTGGGTGCTGTTCCCAGTGCTGGGCTCCCCAGTACAGAGACAATGGGCACAACTCAAAATCTGGGAATTTCCATCAGGAATTTCTATTTAAATATTTTAAAAATTACACATTTTTATTATTAACCTAGTCAAACGGTGGATCAGGTCCCCCACAGAATCTCCAGCCTTGAGATATTCAAAACACAACTCTAGTGGCCCTGAGCACCCTGCTTGAGCTCACCCTGCTTTCAGCATGGTGAGGATTAGTTGATCTAATTAGTGGGGATTTCAACCATTCCACAAGTTCTCACCAACACCTCACTCACACTCCCTGGAAGTGTCCAAGGCCAGGCTGATGGGGCTTGGAGTAACCTGGTCTAGTGGAAAGCATCCTTGCCATGGCAGGGGTGGAGTGAGATGAGCTCTAAGATCCCTTCCCACCCAGCCCAGTCTCTGATTCTGTGATTTTCTTTAACCACTAAAGTAATGACTCCTATGGAGAAAACAGAGCTACCACCTCTTTTCCCTAAAAGAAAAGTAGTTCCAAGAATGGTAGTCCCAGAATGAGAAAGTTCAGAAGTGCTCTGCAGACTGCCAGCAGGGAGCAGCTGCCATCCACCCTCTGCCCACACTTCACTTCCATCCAAAGCCACCCAAGCAGAGGCTGTTTCTGGATCCAGGACCCCTTTCACAGCCCGACAGCAGGACAGCTCTTCCCACCAGCTCTTCCCACGGGTGGAAGCAGCAGCTCCCTGGTAATAGCAGCAAGGTGGGGGGAAATCAAATCCATAAATTTAAGGGGACGTGATGTACCAGTGCCCTCTGCTGCTGACAGTTTTTATTCCCTGACTGAATAAAACCCCGAGGGCTCAGGAAGGCCACTCCAAACTCTTGCTGCCAAGTGGTAACAGCATTGCTCAGCTCCAGGTTTGTGTCTGTGCCAGCAGCTCGAGAGCAGGGAGCATATGACAAACTGCAGCACTTCCAGGCTCACACAGCACTGGGAAAAGCAGGAGGGATTGGCTGGCTCTGTGTAGGCAGCAAGGGATCACAGCCTGCACAAACCCTCACACCCCCCTGCAGCAACTCTCCCTCCAAGGAAATCCTAAGACATTGCCTTGTTGGAGGACTCACGTTGAACCTGGGCACTCAGCTTCTCCAGGTCCTGCTCTGTCATGTGGGAAAATCTGCAGTTGGACCCAAAATCACACTGTCCTGGAATGAAATAGTGAGATTTAAAAATTCAGTTTCAAAATTCTCTAGACTAGATATTAGGAAATATTTCTTCACAGCAAGGGTTGTAAAGCATTGGAATGGGCTGCCCAGAGAAGTGGTGCAGTCACCACCCCTGGAAGTGCTCAAAAAAGTCTGTGGATGTGACACCTGGGGACATAGTTTAATGATAAACATGGTGGTATTGTATTGACATTTGGACTTGGTGATCTTAAAGGTCTTTTCCAACTTTAATAATTCTGGTAAGAGCCAGAGTCCCATGAGAACCACCCACGGGAGGTCCTTGTGCAAGCAAACCCAGGCTCCATCACACCTGGTGCCAGACACAGGCCCAAGCCCCTCCCTCCAGCCTTGGGCTGGCTCTGCAAGGAGCTGCTAGAGCCCAGGCACTTCTTTCCACCTTAGAACTCCTCACCTGTTTGCAGAAACTTCCGACAAGGTTTCTTGGTTTGCTCTTCCTGCAGGATAGCAGCAGCATCTGGGAAGACAAGGGATGAACCCAGGTAAAGATCCTGGGCACAGCAAAATCCCATCATGTCCAGTCCCAAACTGGTCAGGGAGCAGAAGGAAGCAGAGGGACAGCAGGCAATGGTTTCACAGCCAGTTTAGCCCACTCCCACTGCACTCCTCAGGCTGGCACTAACACACCTGGAACTGTGTGCTGGGACAGGTCAGAGCCACACACGAGGGTTTCACCTCTGAGACTGCCTGATTCAGCAGCACCACATGCTCAAACTGCTGGCACACAGAGTGTATAAACCATCAGTGCTGGTTTATTTTCTCTCTCCACTCCCCCCTCCACATCCATCACCTCCCCAGTCCCAGGAAGGGAGTGGCAGACAGCTGGGAGCACCCACCTCGGAATAAGTCGTACCAGACTCTCTTAGCCCGGAGATGCTGCACTCCATTGAGGTGTTTCTTCCTGTTGTGCAGGTTGTCCTGGAAGGACCTGTCACAGTAGTCACAGAAGTACCTTTTGCCCATCTCTCTCCTGGCAAAACAGCATCAGCATGTCCTGAGCTCATCAGGCAGCTCCTCGGCACCCAGCCATGGGAATGGAGGATCCAGGATTTACAGTGCCTGCTTCCAAAGGAGGAGAACTCAAATCACTTAGGGCTGGCAGACAGAGAAAGAGGTGAGACCCAACAGTTTATATCCCTGTCCATCACAGACTGCTGGGGCAGAATCTGCTGCCTGTACATGGGAGAAAAGGCCTGATCTGCATTTATCTCTGTCACCCAAAGCAGCAACAGCTCTGCTGGAAGGATTCTCCTTCCCTGAGCTCAGAGCAGAGAAAACAGAGAGCCACAGGCTCCAGGGGAGGTGCAGCACAAACCATCCAAGGTGCAAACAGAAGGAGCTGGAGGTCCTGGGGACTTTTGACCACAACCTCCACAAGCTGATACAAAAGAAGGAAACTCCCCCATGTCCATCTCTGCAAGGTAAGGAAGAAACTCAGCAAAGCTCATTTTATCCTTGAAGATAAAACAGGAGCCGATCTCACCTGTCCTGGAGGTGGGAAGCTGCATTACAAACACTACAGGACACATTTCCTACAATCCACTGAGCCACCTGTTTTTTCCTAGACATCATGGATTGCACTTCTCATCCCCATCAGCCTATGGCACCAAGTTGTGTCTGCTCTGAATACAGCACTAAGATCACAATACAATTTGGGAGCTCCCACCTGTGCTGGGCCTGCCACTGTCACTGCAGGCGAGATCAGCTTGTGTTTTATCCTTCAGGCACCTCTCCCACAGGATGTCCCTGCTGGAGGTGCAGCAAACACCCTGAAGGAGCTGCAAGCTCTCTCCCGAGGGATATAAAGGTGCCTGATGAATGGCAAAGATGGATGGACTGGGAGATAAACTCCAAAAGCAATTCTCCAGGTTTTGACACTTTGACAGCTGAATGCATTTAAAAAGTGGCACAGAGACCAGCACAAGAAATAAAGATTTTATAAATAAAACGGGTCCAGAATCAATCACAGCCCCCTGGCCAATTGCTCTGGCTCAGCACAAAGAGCAGAGCACTAGGGAACCCCTCAGAGCCTGGCGTGCCCAGCTCAGGCAGGGCTGCCAAGCCTCCTGCCAGACATCCATCCCAGCAGGAGCAGCAGCAGCACATTCCCTTCCCTCCCCTGCTCCCAGGAACTGCTGCTTCAAAATCAAACCCCTGGAAATCTCCGAGGCCTCACACCACAAGTTAAAGCAAAGCTGCACTCCATGGGAAGACCTTCTGAGACCTTTAAAATTGGATTGAAAACCTCCACTCTGAAGGTAAAATGTTCAGATATTCCAAGTGAATTGGAAATCTCGTGTTGAGGTTCCTTCCTGGGGGGGTGAGGGCTGGCCATGCCCCAGCTGTGTGTGCTGGGACCCCAAATCCCCCATGCCCTGGGCTGATCCCAGCTCGGCTCTGCAGGGCTTGAGGTCTGAAATCATCCTCCTCCAGCCCAGGAATCCAAACCCAAGCGCTGCTTAATGAGCACAGAGCCATAAATTCCCTCGTCCTTTGCATCCCTGAGTTTTGCAGCCAGGTTTGCAGCATGGTGGTGAGGCTGCTGGAATTCGGGGGGAACAATGCTTTTAAATACTGAAAAATCCCTGATCCACATGTTATTCCATAAACTCCCAAAGTTCCTGGTGACACAAAAATCTCCCTGTCTCAGCTGCTGGCTCTTGCACTCCATCTCTGCAGAAGAGAATGCTGCAGACAGGAAAAACAAATGAGATTCTGCAGTGGTCCCACACAAGTTTCCAGAGATCTCCCAGGGAATTCTGCCTGCGGAAGCCCAGCAGCAGCCAGCCTTTGAAATCGTATTTCAAACTTTCTCTTTCATCACTCCAACAGCAATAATTGCAGAAGCTCCTTCCCCCTCCTCCCCAAACAACCAGGGCAGAAAGCTCCTACAGACTCCAGACAGCCAGATCCCACATCCCACGGCTGCCTGCTCCCAAATTCTCCAAGCAATTCCCATTGCAGGGGACAGAGGGATTGTAAAAAGCAATTAGAGAGGTATCAGATTCTCCCTGAGACTTTCCCCTTCAGTGATTATACCCAACACTCATCCCCATCTTTTCAAGGATTCCACTGCATGGATACCTTGCTGGGTTCTGCCAACTCTGCAACACCAGCACTTCCCAGTCCAGAGGAGTAGAAAGCTGCTTCTGAGCAGCACCAACCTATTTCCATCCCCCCAAACGGCTCCAGCAGTAAACAAAGAGCATTATTCAGCTGAAAACAGACATGGCTCCTAATTAAATCCATCTTAGTCATTATGAAATAAAGTAAATGTAGCTGTTCTGTAAAGAACTGCCTCAGCCTAGCCCTTTCCTCACAGCATCTCCAGCCCCTGATTTGCAACTGAATCAGGGCACTCAGACCTGGGCCCACCGCAGCCATAAATGCTTCCAGGCAGGCTTTGTGCCAGCTTAAAAGTCTTCCTGAATAAATGCAAATTAAAAATATAAAAAAAACCCAAACCAAACAACCCAGGGCTTTATGCTGTATGAAAGTGTAACAGCAACGCTGTGCTGTGTCTCCCGGAGCCCTGCTGGTGAGCAATACCCTGGTGTGAGGCACCTCGAAGGTGACAGAGAGGGGCTTGGGATAACTCTAGCCAAGATATCCTGGGCACCATCCCATATTTTCCTTCCTCCAACTGCTGCCAGAATGCTCCACGCCGCTCTGTATCAGCTGCAGATTTTATCTGGGACTCTCCGGGGCGTTTCACCGGGCAGAGGGAGGAAGGTGACCCCGACTCCCCTGTGCCTGGGGGAGCTGCTGCTCTCCACACCAGCCCCGGGAGGTGCTGCTGGGCCCTGACCTCAATTTCCTGTTTCTCACAGCCGGGCTCGGGGCCATTCCAGCCACCTCGGATACCCAGGCAGATGTGAATTAATTAAATCCAAGTGTCAGGTTTCTGATACTCAGCTGCCAATTTAAATGGGCTCAGATCTGCTGGGAGACTTGGAATGGCAGCAGAGTCTGCCAGCAGCTTCCCAATGACACAGGCACAGATCCTGCTTTCCATTCCACCCAGAGGAACCATGCAGTCATGGAATGATTTGGTTGGAAGGGACATTAAAGCTCATCCAGTGCCACCCCCAGCCACAGGCAGGGACACCTCCCACTGTCCCAGGCTGTTCCAAGCCCTGTCCAACCTGGCCTTGGACACTTCCAGGGATCCAGGGGCAGCCACAGCTGCTCTGGGCACCCTGTGCCAGGGCCTCCCCACCCTCACAGGGAGCAATTCCTTACCAATATTCCATCTCTCCCTGCCTCTGGCAGTGGGAAGCCATTCCCTGTGTCCAGCCAGCAAATCATGGCATGGTTGGGTTGGAAGGGATCTTAAAGCTCATCTCATTCCAACCCCTGCCACAGGTAGGGACAGCTTCCAGTGGAAATCCAGATTGAGGATCAACACCAACCTGACCACACACGAACCATCTTGGTGGCAATAAGTAATGGGCAGCTGGGGGGATTTGTGTTAGATAATCCAGAGCAGTTATATTTTAAAAATAAAAATTGAGTTTTCCTGAGCTCTGCTCTTTGGTGACCAGGGACAGCAGCCAGGGAACGGCTGGAGCTGGGCCAGGGCAGCTCAGGCTGGAGATCAGGAAAGGTTCTTCCCCCAGAGGTGCTGGCACTGCCCAGGCTGCCCAGGGAATGGGCACGGCCCCGAGGCTGCCAGAGCTCCAGGAGGGTTTGGGCAGCGCTGCCAGGGATGGACAGGGTGGGGTTGGTGGGGGTCTGGGCAGGGACAGGGGTGGGACTGGATGATCCAGTGGGTCCCATCCCACTCAGGATATTCAGGGGTTCCAAAGGGATAACACTACACAGGAATGTGCCAGGCACCTTACAGGCTTCCAAAACAAACAGAGGTCTTGTCCTAACCCAAAAAAATGCTACAGATCCCCATACTCTGCATGGGGGGAAAAATATTAATAAGTCAGGAGAAATTTCTCTGCAGCCAGACCTTGTGCTACTTCTGAGGGGGTGAGAAAAACAAAACAACAAAGGGGTGTCACTTGAGGATCTGCTCTGGAACTTCATGCAGATACTCAATTAACAACAGCCCTGTGGGGAAACAGCCCCAGTGTTAGGATTCCCCTGTCCCGTCCCCGTCTGTTCTGCTTTCCTAAATCCAAATTTACCTCTCTCCTATCTGTGCTAGGGTCACCCCAGGGCTGCTCTGCTCTCACTGAGGTAAAAAAGAGAGAAACACAAAGAGAGGGCAGCAAATGGGAACGTTCCCACTTTTGTTCTGCCACATGGGGCCGGGTTCCATCCTCCCGAGCAGCTCTCAGAGGGTCCTCTGGCCCTGCACAGGTGCCCAGAGCAGCTGTGGCTGCCCCTGGATCCCTGGCAGTGCCCAAAGCCAGGCTGGATGGGGCTTGGAGCAGCCTGGGACAGTGGAAGGAGTCCCTGCCATGGCAGGGGTGGCACTGGATGAGCTTCAATGTCCCTTCCAACCAAACCATTCCATGATTCACGAGCCCCATTCCTCGGACACTGACACCAACCACCTTTTGAAAACCCAAACTGCAGAAAACATCGCAAATCCCCTCCCACCCACCTGCCGGGGGTCAGCTGAGGGCAGTGACCGCAGCCCTGTCTCTGCACCCTTGGCCGGACAGGGACCCCTCACAGGGACGCCTCACAGGGACGCCTCACAGGGATCCCTCACAGGGACCCCTCACAGGGACCCCTCACAGGGATCCCTCACAGGGACCCCTCACAGGGACCCCTCACAGGAATCCCTCACAGGGAGCCCTCACAGGGATCTCTCACAGGGACGCCTCACAGGGACCCCTCACAGGGATCCCTCACAGGAACGCCTCACAGGGACGGCTCACAGGGACGCCTCACAGGGAGCCCTCACAGGGATCTCTCACAGGGACGGCTCACAGGGACGCCTCACAGGGATCCCTCACAGGGACGCCTCACAGGGATCCCTCACAGGGACGCCTCACAGGGACCCCAGTTACCCCGCCACACTCACCCACCTCCGGCCAGGCCCGCGCCGCGCCGCCTACAACTCCCACAACACCCTACGGCAACAGCGCATGCGCATCTCACAAACAGCACAGCGCGGCCTACAACTTCCAGCATGCCCCACGGGCGCTCGGCACCCGGCACAACTCCCAGAGCACCGCCTACAACCCCCAGCAGCCCTTGCGGCGCGGCGCAGGCGCGGGGCGCGCAGACAAGATGGTGCTGCTGCGGCAGGTGTACGCGTCGCTGTTCCGCCGCAGCTCCACGTTCGCGCTGTCGATCGTGCTGGGCGCGGTGCTCTTCGAGCGCGCCTTCGACCAGGGCGCGGACGCGCTCTTCGAGCAGCTCAACGAAGGGGTGAGGGCTGTGTAAGGCCCCGCCGGGGCCGTCCGGGCGCGGGCCCAGCGCTGAAGGTCAGGCCGGCCCCGCTGGGCCCGCGGCTCGGCCGCCCCTGAGGCGGCTCCGCGGCTGTCGTGGCGCTCGGTGGTCGGGGTTTCGGGGTGTCCTTCGGCTTCTCTGGCCGCTCGGAAGGGGCCGCGGGAGGAGGAAAAGGAGCTTCATTTGTGCTCTGTAGTCCCGCGGTTTGGCCGTTCTGCCCGTGCCGGAGGAAGGGGATAAGGGCTGGTGGCCTTGGGTGTCCCCAGCGTGAACCTTGGATAAAAGGGGTCAAGTCCTTAGGTTCCTAAGTGCAGCAGTGACGGGATAATGACTGCAGGACACCGAAGGCAGGCTTGGGGGAGAGCTCAGAGCCCCATGCAGGGCCTACAGAGGCTCCAGGAAATGGGAAAATACTTTGGACAAGGGCATGAAGTGACAGGACAAAGGGAATGGCTTCCCACTGCCAGAGGACAGGGATGGATGGGATATTGGGAAGGAATTGTTCCCTGGCACAGGGTGCCCAGAGCAGCTGTGGCTGCCCCTGGATCCCTGGCAGTGCCCAAGGCCAGGCTGGATGGGGCTGGGAGCACCCTGGGATAGTGGAAGGTGTCCCTGGCCATGGCAGCGGTGGCACTGGATGAGCTTTAAGATCCATTCCAACCCAAACTATTCCACAATTCCATGATTGTTCTGTGCATCCTGTATGTGCAGGAGCAGAACTGCCATCTCCAGTCTGGAGGGGAATTCAAGGCAGTGTCTCTGGGCCACTAATCCAGAGCAGAACAGGGGAAGGGGAATCTCTGCAGCTTCCTCCCTCTCCAGGTTAAAAGCCTGGAGCCCCCATGTGTCCCCCAGATCCAGTACAGGACTCCATCACCACCTTCCCAGGCAGGATAATTTGCATTTTGCATTCTGTTATCTGAACTCCACTGAGAAGCTGCTTAAAACATCTTGATTTTTTTTCCCTGCTTGTTTTGCTTGCAGAAACTGTGGAAACACATCAAGCACAAGTATGAGAACTGAGCAGCTCAGCAGCAGGAGCCAGCCTGGGGTGGCAAGAGGCACTGCAGGGATGGATTCAGCCTCCTGAGACTGGGACTGGATTGCTGATGGAACAACTCCAAGCCACCGATATGATGTGAAGCCAGATGGACTCAAGGAGTTCTGCTGCTGTACTCCACTTACTGTGTTCAAATAAAACTCCTGGTCCTGTCTTGTGTCTGTGTGTTCACCTCACCCATCCTTTGCCCTCTCTGTGCCTCCTCCTTCTCTGGGAGGTGGAGAATCTCTAAGAACAGCCCTGTTCCTGAGTTCCAAGGCACTGTCAGGAATCACAACATCTTAAAACAGGTTTGAAAGCACATAGACAGACAGTTGTAGCCACAACCTGTGGCTTCTGCTTGGGAAGGATGAGAAGCTGTCTGCTTCTTCTGGTCTGTCCACAGAAAAGGGGCTTAAAAACATTCAGAGCACCTTTTGTAGCGCAGCTGTGATGGAAGTTCCTGGCTTGGGCCTTTCCTGCAGCCCTGCCCTGACAGGAGTGTGCTCTGCACTGCTGGGCTGAGAAGGGGATCAGCTGGAGCTTGCAGAGGTGATGTGGATCCCTTTCCCCATTATTCCTGTACCACTTGGCTCCTCCCAGGCCTGGAGGAGCAGAAGTGATGTCAGGTTTGTGTGTCACACCTTCCTCCAGCCGACTGACCCAAGGGAAGGTGCTGCCAAGGGAGAGGGATCACTCAGTTCCCCCCAGGGGCTGGCTCAGAGGAGTCATGGAATGGTTTGGATGGGAAAGGGCCTTAAAGATCATCCAGTTCCTCCTCCCTGAACCTTCTCTTGTCCGGAGCAGAGTCATTCCCTTCTCCCTGAAGAGCCCAGCCCTGCCTGGCCCTGTCAAACACTTACTCCTACATGGGAAGGGATATTTGGGCACTTCCTGGGGTAATGACTCAGTTAATTCCTCAGCTCCAGTGGCTGGAGGGAGATCTAGCTGAGTGACTCCTTCTCTTCCCACCTTCTCACTCCAGCAGCCCCATCTCTCCCTCCTCAGTCCATTTCCATAATCAGGAGGAATTTCAGCACAGGCTGAGGCAGAGCCCATCAGAGCCAGTGCTCACAGCAGCTTTGTTGGGTTTGCAAACGAGTGCCAGGGGGGTAAAACATTTACTCTGAGAACACAATGAGCACTTAAACACTTGTGCTTGTTTTTGGAGCCAAACCCAACTACAGTCCCAGTCCCAGCTGTGCTTTATAAAGATGGTTAAGAAAAAGGTTTATGCTCCTGGGACAATCCCATCTGAGTGAGTGCCAGCTCCCTGAGCTCTGCTGCTGCTCCACATCAGGCTGAGCAGCTCAGAGAGAGGTGCAGGCTCAGAGCAGCAAGAACCACTGCTGAATACAGGATGAGGGGACAGCACTGCAGTGGGCAGCAGGGAGGAGCTGAAGCCATCGGTGCAGAGCGCAGGAGCTGCAGGAGAGCAGCATTATCCCAGCAGGGGATTTTCCTGGATACAGCATCTGGGGATACTGCTAAATCTATTCTTTTTCCATGCCTGTCACTGGGGGGTTTGGGCAGCACTGACAGGCAAAGAAAAATCTCCTTGGAGCACTCAGGGCTTCCCCTCATTTCATGGCAGTGGCTGTTCTGCTGCATTTCTGCTGCTCTGCAAACAGCCCCACAGCTCCAGTCACAACACCAGACACCAAAGCATGGACCTTACTACCACCCTACTACCACTTTACCACCCCACTGCTCCTGCACCACTGGGATTGCCCTGGACTACAACCCACTGCTGGTTTTCCCACTGTGGGGGTGACAGGCACAGGTAAGAAAATGCAGTGCAAGAAAATACAGCGTGGTGGGGAGATGGCACTCAGGGCACATTAACCAGTAAATTAACCAAGCAAAGCCTAATTGGATACCAGGAAGTTCATCAATACTGTCTGGGCCTAAAAAACTTAGTAAGGGCCTTAAAAAACCAACTAAGACATCTACATCTTTTATTTGTACCATCTGTTTTCACAGGCCTCACTTGAGGGACAGAAATTCATAAGGTCTTACTCACCTGAACCCCTGTGGGTCTGCTGGCAGTGGGAACAGCCTGAGCTTTTCTGTGCCAGCACAGAGCGGTGTCAGGAGGTTTAGGTGGATATCAGGGAAAGGTTCTTCCCCCAGAAGGTGCTGGGTATGGTCTCAAGGCTGCCAGAGCTCCAGGAGCATTTGGACGGTGCTGCCAGGGATTCCCAGGGTGGGATTGTTGGGGTGTCTGTGCAGGGACAGGAGTGGGACTCGGGATCCCTGTGGGTCCCTTCCAACCTGGGACAAGCTATAACTCGAGTTCAGGATAAGGCATTTCCACGGAAGCCATGCTCTCAGAGTTGCCCACTCCAGGGTAGGCAGGAGCCAGTATGAAAATAAAACTCTGTGAATTATAAATAGTACAAAAGGGCAGGAATGGCTGCCGCAGCCTGTCCCATGTATTGGGCGCAGCCAGTGGCACACACGGTCAGGGCAGCTCCTTCCCGGGAACAGGCAGCACTCCCACAGGGAATGCAGCTCCGTGTGAGCCCAGCTGCCAGGTATTGCACACAACATCCATCCCCCGAGCAAAGGGAATGCCGAGGAAAGGGATCCTCCTCCTGGGCGGGGCCAGGGGATGGTGCAGCCCCGCCCTGGAGCTGCTCAGGAAGGGATCATGCCCTTGTTGCGCTTCCTGTCGGCCATGGCCCGGCGGTTGTGGTTGGCTCTGGTGCTTTTGTTTGCTTCTTTCTTCCTCCGCTCCTGCTGCGTCTCCCGGTTCTGCCCGTGGCCCTTGGCGTTCCCAACAACGGCAGAGCTGTCGTGCTTGTGCCTGGAGGACACAGAAAAGGACATCACAACAGGCACACTGCACTCCTCGGGGTGAAATCCCACATCCCCACAGTCACACATCCTGGGTGTGAGGGGTTCAGCCTCGGGCCTCGGCTCCTCCCAGGGCTCCCACGGCAGCCCAGGAGCAGCATCAGCCACACCACCACTGTGTCCTTCCACACACTGAGCCCATCAGCTGAAAACAGCTATGAAACTGTCCCAAAATCCTTGTGGGAGCTGTCTGAGCTCTGGGAGTTGTGCTCTCCAAGAGCCTGTCTTCCACAGGGTTTTGCTACTTGGAGTGACAGGACAAGGGGGAAGGGTTTTATGCTGAAAAATGGGAGATTTAGATTGGGTGCTAGAAGGAATTGTTCCCTGGGAGGGTGGGCAGGCCCTGGCACAGGGTGCCCAGAGAAGCTGTGGCTGCCCCTAGATCCTTGGAAGTGTCCAAGGCCAGGTTGGGACAGGGCTTGGAGCAGCCTGGGATAGTGGGAGGTGTCCCTGCCCATGGCAGGGGGTGGAACAGGATGGTCTTAAGGTCCCTTCCCACCCAAACCACTCCATGATTCCATGCCATGCCTACCCCTATTTAATGGGATAAAACAACCAGCAGTGAAATAAAGGGTGGGTAAGGAAGTTCACCCCACTGTGGTAGGACCCTGACACAAAGGAATGTCAAGGAGCAGGAACAGCCCCAACAATTCCAGCCAGCAGCAAAACAGCTGCAGAGCCCCAGGGAGATCCTTGCTTACCCCTTCCTGGCAAGGAATGCCTGGCGCCTGGCTTCAGCCCTCTCCCGCAGGACAGCGGGGTCCTGCACAAAGTGGTCCTGCAAGGAGGCAAGGAACAGGTCAGAAACCCACCTGCACCATGCAG